GGAAACTGTGCAAGTACAGGTCCCATATCCCCTCTCTCTGAGCCCGAATGAACATGAGGAGAACAGATACCATTTCCATGTAGTTCCACCAAAACGTGAAGTTGACATTTTCCTCGGATCTTTGTGCGACGAATTCGTCGAGCATCTTTTTCACTCATGGTGACTTCAGAGATGTTATCAGTGCTGCAGCATTTTCGGGAGAGCAAGCAAGAGCAGATACCTCTCGGAAGAGATCTGGGTACGATTTCTGGCAGAATTCTAACAGAAGAGGCATCAGCAGCTGCCACAATGACTGCAGAGTAATCTTGTGGGCACGCATAGCTCTCTTGTAGGCTTTTCCATCCATGACATGTTCGGCTGCATTTGGCCCAAGCAGTCCACTCTCGACCCATTGTTCGACCAAGCCTGATCCCTTCATATGGTTTCCAAACGTAAAACAATACAAGTATCGTCATTTCTTCCAAGTAAATCAACCAGACGATCGATAACCTCTCTTTTTGCTACGTCCCTGCACTTTCTTCGTTTAGTCATCGCTTCGTAAACAAAATTTTTGCTGTAACTCGTAGCCTCTCTTACATCGTCCTTGGGCTTATTACGCTTCTGATAGAAGATGCACAGCTTCAAGTCAACTTCCGAAGCTCTCTTTAGGGTCACAAATGGATCCATTCCAACATTTCACAGCTTTAGAACAGCTTTCTACTAGCCAAAAATCGAGCGAAGGCATACTAAACAACGAAGGTGAGTAACCAGGCTTACTTACCACTGGACTGGACTCAGACAGTGAAAGCGAAATTAGGGAAGCGCGACCGTGGACGCGTTTCTGTTCTCACATTCAAATGCGTAGCCATCAACTTCATTGAAAAAGAGCACCAATGAACCCAAAATGAAGTGCATATGAAACACTTTTCTGTTTTAATTCGGCCAGTTGAAAAGAACGTGTTTCTCTGTGTGAGAGAACATTATGAAAACATAAATGACGTCATACATTGGCCCACGAGACAGGCAAGTCTTACATTCCTCAAAATACGAAGCATGTAACATACTATAACTGAACTGGTTCTACAAGATCCAAATTTGCGACATTTAACTCAGTGGTTTCCCCTTTTCTACACATTTGTCATTGCGATGACGTCATTTTAAATGTCAATTATCTGACATCATTTTCAGACTAAGATCACAAAATGAACTTTGGTAACAAGCATTGTCGTTTTCAGCATGTTAGATTACTTCAGAAAACTCATGTTACCAACTTTCACTAAGAAATGCTTCTTGATTTTTTTTGAGAAGGACTTTATCCAAATACCGACTAGTCTACCACTCGATCCAGACCGCTTTCTCTTTGAAATAATCGTAATAGCGACTGGGAACGACTCTGAGTTATATGTGTTTCGTTATATTTGTGATTTTAAAAAAGACTTTCAAAAGTGGGTAAAACGTTTGTGTGAAAGGTATCATTACGTGCTAATTCACAACGTTCAAACGAACGTAAATTATTTACCACTTAAATATCCTCAAAACAGGTACAACGAAGCATGGGTGGATCGCATGTTGGCAAAACGTTTCTGTGAAAGGCATCATGTCCGTTTAATCATTGCTGCTAATTTTGTGACCATAAAATTAAAAGGCAGAAAGAAATGCAATGAAGTGATGTGTCGTCAATTCATTTATTGAAGTACAATTTCTTTCTGACAAGTAAAACCCTGAACAAATTAATGGAGACGGTTCATCATACCTCGTGCTACATTATACAACATGCATAATATAATTTTAAAAAGGCTAAATTAACACTCATAAGAGTGAATTTTTCTAATTAGCAAACATAAGACGGCAGAAGTCGAAAAATCGATTTTTCTCTCTTTTCGTCCACAAATAGCCCTTAGGTAGATATGAAACGTGATGTAGTTTTTTTGAGCTCGAAGCGCTTTAAATTCGAGAAAATGGAGGAAAACGATTTTCGTGTAGAGGGTCGCCAAAATGGCCGATCACAAAGACTTAAAATTAGTAATCTAAACTTAATTTGCATTCGCGTATAAAAGAGAACTAAAACTTATCGATACTTTTTCTTGAAAGACAAAGTATTCAGCTATCCAAAACAGGTTAGAACTTGACTTGAGCGCCATTTGAGAATAAACACACAATTTTTAAAAAAAATCCCTTTCAATTACTAAGTCGAATTCCTAATTTAGGAAGAAAATTCAGAGATATTTTTCGACATATGCCATAACTCCAAGTTCCTTGAAACTTCGCGTTTGGAACACTTTTATGTTGTTGTAAAACATATTTTAAAATCAGCTTGGGTTATTCTTTGAGTGGTTTTTGAGGCCCGACTGAAAAACCCCAATTTTACCCTTCCATTTGAAAGGTCAAACACTTGGGCTTAACCATACACATAACAATTTCGACCCACCTGGTACAGGTAGTTCACCATTACGATGAAAAAGTACTGCATGCTCAATAGTTTTGTTTTTTTCTATTGGCACACGCTAGGATTTCATCCACAAACGTTCATGTGAAATTTAAAATGATAGATATTCTTAATAATAACTAATATGAGGTTTAGCTGTACGAATGAAAAGGTGATTCTTATATTCTTAATATCTCTGCATGTTCACTGAAGGACTTTCAAGTTCTTTACATTGTTCCCGGATTGTTATAGCTCAAGCTCCGCTGACTGGAAAAATGAGCTCCTTTTTCACCTGAAGTCATCTAGATTTGTTTTTTAAAAAAATACAAACCAAGCGTTTTTGAAAACGGTCAACTTCATCTACAACCCTGAAAATGGTTATTGTTGAAACGGAAGTGTGTTTATTGTAATAGTTTAAGAACAAATTTCAGTCTTTTATGCCACGTATGCTTTAGAAAATATTGTCAAGGCAGGGAGGTTAGAATATTTTCGCTCGTCTGCAGTAAAACGTTGACTCACAAAAGACTAACACCGTTGGCATATGGATGAGAAGCAATATAGTGAGTCTTCAGTGCGTTCTTTTGATAAAATGCTTTGCTGCAAAACTGACATTGAAACGGCTTCTTAGGCGCATGCGTTCTCTTGTGCGTGTTGAGCGTGGAGGCGAGAGTAAACCCTTTCCCACAAATCTGACATTTGAACGGTCGTTCGCCCGTGTGGCCATAGATGTGAGCCTGTAAGTTTCCCTTTTGATTGAAGCCTTTGCCGCAATACTCGCATTGGTACAATCGCATCTCGGAATGGGTTCTCAGGTGATACGTCAGATGTGTCAACTGCTTGAAACCTCGCCCACATTTGTCGCACTTATGTGGCTTCTCTCCTGTGTGAGTGTATCGATGAATCTTCATGTCGATCTTCTGGTGGAATCCCTTTCCGCAGAAGTCACAAATGAACGGCTTGTAGTTGGTGTGCGTGCGCATATGAGTGTGTAAGTTAGACGCGCGGTTGAAGGCCTTGTTGCACTGCCGGCACACGTACGGTTTCACAGTGGTGTGCGTCAGGCGATGACGTGTCAAGTTGCCCGGCTGTCGGAAGGCGCGGCCACACTGCTCGCAGATGAATGGCTTGTCACCAGTGTGGATCCGTTTGTGGGTCGTCAAAGTGTTCGAGCGGCTGAAAGATTTGTCGCACACATCACACGTGTAGCGATATCTTTTGCTTGAGGAGCCACTCGTCTTGGAAGATTTCTGCTGCAGAGTCGTCGGTACTTTGTTTCGGTCGTCACTATTCTGCAAAAACCTGTTGAAATCTTCCTCCGACCTCGAACATGAAAGCCTTGGAAAGCTGGGGTAATCTGCTGTTGTTTTCTCCTTCTTTACAATACTATCAACCTCGTTTGCTTTAAGATGGCCAGAAACTTCAAAATCTGTTTTTCTCTTTTCTTCGTAATGAAAGCTTGAAGTAGATTCATAATTGGTGACACTGTTTTTTACCTCTGAATATTGACCTACAGGTTGCTTACTGAAGCGTTCAAGGAGAATTTCAGCTCTAGAATGACTTTGCCAACCGTTGTTTTCCAATACAACGTTGTGGACGCAATCTTCTTCGTCACTTACTTCTTGTTTGATGAAAGCTGGAATGAAAGAACTTTCCGTCTTGATCTGGTTTGCGTCATCAATGCACCTGCGTGTAAAATTACTCACGTTAGACTCGTGAATTTCAATCATTGGAGTAGGGTGATACTGGAAATCGTGCTGATTGGCTGCGAGAATTCCTCCATTTGATTGGTCGAAGTCAAGGCTTTGAGACGATTGGAAGGGATTTGATTTCAAGTTCTGTTTTTCCATGCATGGCAGTTGCGCATGACTTAGTCTGACTGCAACTGTTTCTTCGCGACTGCCGATCGGCTTCTCAAGGTGTGCCCCCTCTGCTAAAATGATAAAAAAAAATACATTTTTTTATTAGAGGATCATTCGATATATAACAACTAGTATTTTAATGATTGAAGTCAAATTCAAAGTAATGGCATCTGGAGAGACCAATCATAACTATCGTAGACTGTAATAAATGACCAATCAAAATTGAAAGCTGGCGTAAAGAGCCCGGAAAATGCACGCTGCAAAATTACGTTGTTAAGAGCAATTTGCATGACCTGTCCGGACCCGCATAGCTTGTCAATCAGGAACAAGTTTTTCTTGATAATATTTATTTCACTGCGTGAACGAACAGAAAGTTTTTACGATCACGTTTTCCAAGTTTTATGCTCCAGAAATAGTAAAGTCGCCGTGACAAGTTCTTCTTTCAAGGCTCAATACTCTTTATAAAGCTGCATTTGCCGAAACGTGATAGATTTCCTTGACCAGTCCTTTTTAATAGCGCCATGTACACGAACAAGTTTTGCTTCCTAGCAAAATCTCCACGAAAAATCATCTTGCTTAAAACCACCAGAAAAAACACACTTACTTTTTTTCCAGGAACTCACACAAAAACTCGGGTACCGAGTACAAGGTCTCGACCTTGTTCTCGGGTACTTAATGGTACTTGAGTTCTCGATTAAGTATCCAGTGTCTGAACGCAATATTATTATGTACCGGTCCCCAGGCAACAATGCGTGGCAACAAGTGTGAACACGCAAATTTTTCCATGATGAAAAGATGTACTACTGGATTTTGCATACAATGAGGATCACTCGTCATGATCGAATCCATAAATTTGCTATTTACAACTTTAGTCCAAAGGAAACTGTTTCCTCGTGTTTTCCCTATGGTGTGGAAACCTTATTTAGAAATTTCCAGCCCACAATTTCGGTTGAACCATTCAGAAGGAACACAATTTAAAAGGCATGAAGATGCTTAACATTGTTCGCGCTAACATACAAAAACCTTATAAGAGTAGATTGTTTTTCTTCACTAGTGAAATAGTGCTGTTACTTATTTTCAAGTTTCCCCAATATAGACCTCACCCCTCTCCATAGAATAAGAAAGCGTCCGAATAGCGCTATGTTTTCATAAAGTCCCGGCCAAACAGACTCCTAAGTAGAGGCAAGCTGATAACTTGGGTCTACTTGCGACTCCGTACGTTTGGCCGGGGCTTGCGTGTACTTCTGTTGACTTGCGATGACTTGCGCTCACTTTGGTGGAGATCAAATTTGCACGCAAGTCGCCGCAAGTTTTTCACCGTTTGGCCACCCACCCAAGTCAACCCAAGTTGAGCGACGTTTATCCGTTGTTATAGCAACCTATTAGCCAATAAAATGCGGGATACATAGCCTTTTTTTTTTGCGACATGCGTGTACTTGCGAGGAAACTTGCGAGTCCGTTTGGCCACCCAACTCAAGTTTCTACGCAAGTTCAACTTGCGCTACTTTCGACCGCTTGCCAGTTTGTTTGGCCAGGGCTTAACTCGATAGACAACAATACGAAAAAACGTTTTCGATTTCCTTAATAAAATGTTGCCAGAATTGAAAAAAGAAAGGAAAATCATTTGTTTAATGTCATTATTAAGATGTAAATTTTATTTGCGAATAGGATCAATTCTTCATGCGCTGGTACTAGGTTTGTGTTTGAAGAGCTATGGAACATTTTTAGAACTTGAAAACTTGATCTGTTTCAGCATGTCTCTTTCTTAAAGTTAAAAGCCAAAGAAAATCGTGTAGTTTAGTTTCAATATAATTTTGTGATATAATTTATGTCAGTGACTGGAAAAGCAGTCATTCAGAAAGCCAATAACTAAACTCGACCAATCAGATTGCTCGATTACCGATCCAATATTCTGTAAGTATTAGATCGGGTACTGTCCCCAATAATCCCTCACGATCTCACTCGAAGATTTTCTCATTATTTTATGGCTTACGTTTCTAAAAGAACTTGCTTTAAACATAAAAGATTCCTCTTCTTTTTCTTTTTTTCTCCCTTTTTTTAAAGTTTAACAGCAGACTTGAGTATACTGCTCCAATCAGAATTGCGCGCTTGAAGATTGCAGTGCAGATTTTTCAGTCCGTAATCGTGGCATTTTTTTCAAAGCATTTTCGGTCATGCAATAAATCTCTTATCAATCAACCTTGCTCGGGACTGTCCTCGGAGAATATTGGCCCGCGGTCTTTTTTGTACTAACCTGCTGCGTTCGGGCCGATATTCTCCAAGTACGGCCCTCGCGCTGGGTTAATGAGGTATTTATACACTCTGCTCGTAATTAATACCCTCCATTGAATAAAGTACATGGCTCTTACTCTGTGGATAGCTCTTTTGAAACAAGAACTTTAATTTAGTGTAAGAAGAATTAGCATCTGATTTCTCTTCACAATATCGCTATATTGTTCAACGGACAAGTGGCGAATTTTTAAACCTCCCTCTTGTGCCGTCAAATTCTCAAAGAAGACAAAATGAAACAGGAGCCAATTAGCTTGGCACTAAAAGGATTTTCCATTCTCTTACGGCAACTGACCTTGTTACTAAACCAAAAGCTATGTGATTACTCTTTTACCTTTGGAGTTGAGTGCCGCAGGTGTCACCAATGGGCTTGGAATTTCGCTTTTCCTCTTTTTTATGTTGGCATTTTGCTTTTTCTTGATGAGGAAAGATCTTGGCATCTTGACGGAACTTTCCTGAGCTGCAAAAGAGCAAAGCAAAGGCTATTTACTTTCTGAAAACAACGTGGCATGTTTGAGCTTGGCACGGACTTGTACTGAAATCTATAATTCCTACAAAAAAGGTACATTTTGCTTGGTCTTGGGTCAAGCTATGTCGCGTGAAAGTCGAAAAAAATTGTGAAGATTGCTACTTACCTACTCTTGTGGTTTATTACTTACTGTAAGATCTGTAAGAGTTTTTTCTTTGTGCCTCTGTACTCGCAAAGGAGTTCAAAAGGTTACGAGTAGTCGACAGTGAATGATTTTGGTTTGGTCAAGCTTTATTTATTTATCCAATACAGCTGACTCTATATCAATTTTCCAAGCACTGCTATTGGCGGAGGAGTTTAAACACATTTTCTTCGATTTGTAGACAATAAAGAAACCTCTTTCATTTACAGTAGAAGTCGTTAATTCATGTAACTTATTGCAAGGTTATCCTTAATTAACATTTTTTTTTCATTACCACAGTCGGTCGAGACACAGCATAATTATATGACGTTTCGTAAAACTGAATGAAAGAACATTTTTCTGGCGCAAGAGACGGTTACTAAGAAATGACTTTTGCTCATTTGTGATTATATTTTTCGTAGTTTGCGCTTTGTGATCTGTAGCAGTATATTTACTTAGCTATTTATGTACCTATAGCAAAAGATGTTCGGCTTTTTCCTGTTTCATTTGCTTTCTTTATGTAACGAAATGAATAAACCAGTCTTGAAGACGCCGAGAAATCTTCACACTTTCAGCTCGGCAAATTATACTCGTTTAAATTGAAGAAAACTTTAAGTTCGAACGTCGCCATTCCCATTCCATAAACGCTAAAGGTTCGCTTGCTTAAGTTTATTTGATTTTACTGAAATCAAAATTGAATTTATAAGTCATAAAGGACCTTTATTAAGAGTCCCAAACGTTGTTGTAATGAGGTTTTATTCGATGCCCCATGCTTGGGTGCTATGGGAAGTTTCCTTAAACAAAGAGTTGAGCAGTTTTGATGTAGCTATTACTTGTGAAAACACTGAAATTCTAATTTTTCTTGACAAAGAAAATTTCTAAAGCACAGCAATCTCTGGTCTTCCCGGCAAAAAAAAAAACTCTTTAGCATCTTCACTTACCCCGCGCTTGTAGGAGCTGTTCGAGGTCTTGATAATTCTCGATATTAGATTTAAAGCGGTATGAAGCACAACCTTTCCAGAGGATCAAGTATACGTTTGTGATTTGTCTTTCTTTGGTTACATGAAAATAATACATGCAAAGGACTCCTGTGTTTGCTCAGCTTTGACGAAATTCAAATCGAGATGTTGTCATCGTCCCATGAATGCTCAACCGAACCGATTTTCTGTACAATGGCTAGCGCAGTATTTCAGCCGTGACAGCTAAAAAATTATAAACGCTTGTTCAAACTATAATGATTTTCACTCGGCGACGAATTAAAACAGGCAATACGACAAGTCTATTGGCTTAAATGTAACATTTGTTCATGTGTGTTTTTAGTTAAGGTCATTTACGATTAGAAAATATGCATGAAAACTATATTAAAAGGAAATGAATCAAACGTGTTCATTGCCACGATTTTTTTTTTAAATACCTTAATTCTATGTTTCAAACCATAAAATCGCTTTATTATAATTCATTATTCTTACACATTGTATTTGATATTTTTGAACAAAGAACTAATTTTTTTTCCTGATCAAACCAATTTTAATTTGTATGAATTATTGTAGGGTTTATATAAGCGACAAGGGATCTACTTGCAGGCGAGTTCGCGTTAAAGATTCAAAAAAGTCCTTCCGTGAATTTTCTCTTTTTTTCCGCTAAGTGAAAACTTTTCCTTTTTTGGTGACTGGTTTCATACATTTAATTGTATGAGGAGCTTTTGCCCGTCAAACGAAAGCGCTAGCTTAATGCAAACATCAGGCGACTTATTGATTTTTCTTAACCAAGCTAATTGTGTCTTGCTGTTCCCACATACAAAGCATATGCATGGTGGTATTAAAAAAGCTGCATTTAAAATTAACCACTGATTTAAACACGCGCGGTTCTTCTTAAGTTTTGAAATATCGTCTTTCACTAAAGACCTATGTGATTTTCAGACTAAATACACGTTTTAATGGTACCAGTGAAAGAATTTACTTGTAATAACCTTTTTCCTTTATCGATAAAAGCGGCCGGAAAAGCTAATTATATGTTAAGACATTGCCTAGGAGTGGACCAATATCTGAACGAATTTCTTGTTTCCATAATCAATACACTTTCAAGGAGACAGGTGCAGAGAGTAAAGCAAAACATCACTTAAATTGTGGAACCGAATTTTTAGGACTGCGTTTTTAGGGCGGCCTCATGTTCTGAGCGCGCAAGACTCCGGATCGTGCACCTTCAAAAAATCGCGTAGTACACCTTCAGAAAATCATCCTACGTTGTGTCGGTTTCTGCTTTTGTATTCTTGTTCGAACCCTGGCCGAGGACATTGCCTTGCCAGTTTTCTTGGGTAAGACACTTTACTCTCACAGTGCCCCTCTCAACCCAGGGGCATATATGATCGCCAGTGAATTTCGTGCTTGGAGGTAACCCTGCGATGGACTAGCATCCCATCCAGGGAGGAGTAGAAATACTTCTAGTCGCTTCATGCGACAGAAACCGAGATAAGGTCCGGCTGCGTGGACCACTTTGCCCGACCCAGGCTTTGGTTTTATTTTATTTATGAAACTGAAAGGCTTATAACAGAAGAAAATCGGATTATCAAACGACATGATAAAAATTAGTGTTAGAAATGTCATTATTGCATAGCACTAACCCAGCAACCAACCGCTGGACAAGAAGCCTGAATACTCAGAGCAAGACATTTCTTGAGATAATATTTTGTTTTCGCTTCTTTCATGTAGCAAGCTGGCCAAATTTAGGACTCCGGAGAAAGCGTGTTGGCCGTAAACCAACATTTCGGCGACACAGCATGCGTGCACTGACGATTATCAGTTTTAAACTATATTCCTTGTCTAATATCTAGGTTATGTAGAGCACTCTAGCAGCTTCAAAATTTTCCAACCTCGTTTTATCCAACTTTTTCGACTACGAAATCCCTTTAAGAATTTTAGCCACTTCTATATGCCTTAAGTAAAAGATCGACTCACTGCATTTGCTCCTTTTCATTAACAAGAGCAAATACAACAACTGAATTTTTCCATCTGCTCAATAACTAAGAAGGATATTGTCAAAACAACAAATGTGATGTACGCTTCAAGCCCTTCGGTGTAAACAAATAAAAAGCACTGTGTGAAGAAAGGTAAAATATTTTACGTAGAGTACCTCGTGATGAAAAACAGAAATAGCGCGTTGATGATTGTCAGTTATGTCTTCTATTCGTTTTCTCTGTGTGAATTTCAGAGTTTCGATTCGACTTACTAACTTGTCGCTTCAATCGTATCTCTCCGACAGAACAAAGGGACTGGGGTTTTTTATTTTAATGCATGAAGATGCCAGTATCAGATACTGATTTTAGTTTTCGTCTTAAGTGCGAAACTAGAATAGATTATTAAGAAAAAAAAAGTGTATTAAACTCCCTTCATATGATATTCCCTGCTTCACGGTCCATTTAATTTCATGTTGGTTTTTAGCGTCCTCAAGCCCGGCTTTTCACGAACAATATTTTCAAATGGGGCACGCGAATTGGTTATTTACATGGCAGAGTATTTACTGAGCAGGTGTGATACCGTGGAACTGTAACTAATTTGATACGTTTCTCTGTATAATTTAACGTTTCCTTTTACTCTTGTGATCAATTGAAAACTGAACTTCAATGTTAATAGAAGTGGACGATAAAGATTGAAACAATCCATCCATATCAGTTCTCGAGTGTGTGTTCAAATACGCCTGTTAGATAACACATCCTACCTGACGCTCCAGGCGGAATCCTTATTCATGTCACCTTGAATATATATTTTAGGGATGTCTATTTTTTTTCGGCCTAATTAAAGCTGAGTGTTCTATACGACAGATATCACATCTTACAAGGAGCAATCAGCCAAAAAAAAGCCTTACCTCTACGGAAAATAGAGTTGAGATCGAGACGCTGCCGAATAGCTCTTTCAATACGGTATTCAATATTTTAAACTCTGTGTTAATAATGATCGCTAAAGGCCTGTTTTGTAAAGAGAAAATACGCACGATAAAAGGCTAAGATAACAATAGCACGTCGTGAACATATGTTGCTATGGCAACACTTCGCTTTGAAAGCTTATTTTTTTCAACGATGTTACGTTTAGACCCATACTTGATGACGAGAGAAAAATGATATTTCTAAGATTTTTCTTAAAAGTGCAATCTGCTTTGCCTTAGATGTCTAGTTATTTTATAGCCACTTATTTCATCAATTAACTGTTTATGACACGTTCAATGTGGACGTTAGTAGTGCCTTTGTTTATGCAGCTCAGCTCATTCGCTAAAGAAAATGCTCCTCACGGCTTTGTCTACTTATGTAAATCGCATCTCAGCGATTCTTGAATTATTGAAAACCATGAAAAAGTCACGAGCTGATTTAACCGTCGAGAGCTCTTTTGTGCTGACAAATACAACGACTAGGACCTTCTTCACCTTTACAGCGATAAATACGGCCGAAGCGTCGTGGGAAAGTTGAAACCTTCGAGATGATCTGAAGTTTTCTTTTGAAAGTACAAGCACCTGCCCTAACCAAACAGCTGAACCACCGCTGTCAGCCAATTGAAACTCGACAACAACGCGTCTTCCATGTTATTTCCCGCCAAAATATCCCGCTTTTGCGAATTCAGCTGTGTTACGTTGTAAGGCCACTTAATCCTATCTTTATGGTTTCTTTCTTGCTGAACGTTCAAAAGAAACCTGAATATAGAACTTGTCGTCAAAGTAGTTTTATATTTGCTCTGTACTTGTTTGTTCTTCTGTTGCTCTCTCAGTAGGAATAATAATTGCCTTTGTGTCAAAGAACAGTATTTTTCAAATAGCTAAGTTTCATCTAATAGGCGACGATGTGAACAGATCCGAAAAGGTCTATCTGTTACATTTTTAGGGGCAAAATTGTAAGCGATTTTTTATTCTAGATCTAGCTAGAGACTGTGTTAAATATTTAGTAGCCTCTTCTTCGATCGTAAGATTAATATTAGTGATTTCAACCAAAGCTGCGAAGAAACTTTAAATTATGCGAGAACTCATGTCAACTTAGTAATGGTGATTTTCATGGCATTGTTAATTCGCTACATTCAGTTGCGGCGAGGAATATCAACTCTTTAGTCTCATGTTGTGTTTGCTCTTGGTTCAAAATTGTTATCACATAGTTGAATTTTAATTTTTAGTAACATGCCCTTTGTTCTGAGAAGTTCGATTTTGATTATCTACGTACCTTTCCGAAGATGAAAAATCCATTTCAGACACACTGTTAAAACCATTACTTTGCAGCGAACACGACGATTTAGAGAGTGAACTAAGTATATCTTTGTTGAGAGAGAAACTTGATATTTTTTTGAAATCTGATACTGTACTGATTGAGATTTGAGTTGTGAAAACAGATTTAAACAACGATCACGCGCAACGAGTAGGGACTAAAAAGAAAGTTGGAATTTTGCTTTTGCTGGTAGAGCACATTGACTTTAAACCTTTTTTATAATTATAACATTGGGACTGCAGTTTCGATCAAATTCATTGACAATTTTCGAAAACATTTACGGCGTTATAGCAACGAGTCGATTCCATAAATCGAGAGTTCAATACTATAGATTCTCCAAGTTGTTGTAACAGGAAAGTTTTTTGCCAAATTAGAAGTAAAAAAAAAGAAAAAAACGAAACAAATAAAAAACAAATTAAGAAGAAGGTTGAGGTGAAACAAATCAAGGGTATAAAGTTGTGAGCTGTGGGGTTTTGGCGGGAAATGCCGTGTAAGACGCGGCAATGCTGAGCTTGGTTGGTTGATGGAGTGACTCAGCTGTTCTTCCAAACGCATGTGGTCAAAACATTGTCAAAGAAAGCTCGTTTGGAAATGAATTTAATAGTTTGGTTAACAGAATTTTTAATATAAATTTCGTACTTTAGTTGTTTGTAGATAGTTCTCGAACGAAAATTAATGAGATTTCTTTCAGGATATCGATCGCATAACGAAAAAAAAGAGCTTTCATTACAATTCTTGGCTTTTGTAGCATTTTCAATTATTCGCGAAAAAGCCATTAAATTTGCATAAGTAAACTAAACAAGGAGAATGTTCTTTTCCAATAAATTAGCTGAGCTAAAAAAACAAAAGGAAGCCCTAATGTTCACAGTAACTGTGCCATAATAAACAGCTAATTGGTGAAAGAAGTCAGCCAAAGAATTGAGTTGATCTTTGAACCAAGATTAGTGGCCATAAATTCAAATAATGACAGGCCGATATTTGATTTGATTTTGCTGTTTCTTTGCCTAAAACGTAAATTCTTTACATGAAAGTTAAGATTATATCGTAACCATGGCACATTGTGTTCTTGGATTTTTTTCATCGAGCGCCGTTCCTTAACAAAACAGCCTTTTCCCAGTTACAAGAGCTTTTCACCTCTGGCATTTCACTGACGAGTTTTCTTTAGCTCTCTCACGCAAGGAAAGCTTGATTACCCAGATTTTTTTTTTTTTAACATTATTTTGTTACCTTTTGTTACACAGATAAAACTCACTTTTTAAATGTCTTGGGAAACGCTGCTTTGCAAGTTTAAGAAAAGGCCGGGAAAACAGGTTTGATTTTATAAGACATGTTTCGTGGATCGTCTGTCTTTTATGAGGTAAAGTTTGCTGATAAGCCAAGTGGCCCATCAGGCCTGGACTTATCCCGGTTTTTGTGGCATGAAGCGACCAGGAGTATACTCCCTCCTAGATGGGATGCTGGACCATCGCATGGTTACCCCTAGCTTTAGATTCGCCGGTACCTCTTTGTACATCTGGATGGAGAGAGGCACTGTGAGAGTAAAATGTCTTGCCCAAGATGTCCCCGGCCAGGGCTCGAACCAGGACCGCTCGATCCGGAGTCGAGCGCACTAACCACGAGGCCAGTTACATCAGTTGTATGTACATATGGTTGTAAAGCAATATAAAAGGTTGATACGGACTTTTATCACACGCAGTTGTGTTCTGCTAAATTCAATGGCAGTTAAATACTGCATGGTCTGCTCATTTCTTCAAAGCTGAACAATATGTTTTAAAGTAAATCTACTATCCGCCGAATAAAACTACCATGTATACTTGTATACATAGCAGTTTTATTCGGCGGATAGTAAAAAAAATCATTCTTACATCATTTTTACATTTCTTTTCAGTTACTCTGATTTAAAATATTTAAACAGGCTGTTTTCATTATTCAGCGATACAGCCTAAAAAAGAGATTGCTAGTTTTACACTCTCGACTCTAAAAAACGGAAAGTTGTTCAAATTTAAGTAGAGCTCCGCCGATTCAACCATGCACAAACATGAATAAATATCAAATTATTTTTCTCCCAAAACGCCAACATCGGTCAAAATATGTGTGAAAAATGTACTTTACACTGCATGTATGCGGTTCTCCTCGTATCTGGGAAATTTGGTGTCCCTGAGAGACCACCGCATATTCTGGGAAAGTTGGCATAAATGTTCAGTATTTGTATAAAGCCAAAAAAACATTGCTCAATTATATTCCTGAAAAGAAACAAAAAATTAATTACAGTAGAAATTATATGAAAAACTGTATTAGAGAACTTCGCTTCACGGCATAGCTTCTCAAAAGAAGATGAAATACGGCTTTTTAAATTCAAAATAATTTGTAAGATCATGTTTATTTTTTTTTAGTTGTCAGAAATTTTTTTCGCGCAGACCGGCTAGTAAAACGAACTATCACATTTGATGAGTAATGCGGCGTATAATTAACAGTGCAGGTCGAGGACCCGGTCTGTCCCAATTTAATAAACGCATCTATGCCAACTCTCTCAGATTATCCGAAAGCCTCTCGGGTACTGAGACCAAATCTGTCGGTCTTCTGATCTGTACGGGTCACCAAATCTCCTTGATATGAAGAAAAGTGCTTCATTCCAAGAGTGCGTTTTTCACACCTATTTTGGCGTTTTTGGGGGACGCTTTATGCATATTTGACGCGATTTTTCTTGGCTTGCTCTACTTTTAAACGAAGTCAGTTTTGCCGATCAAGAGGGGGCATTTGGGGATCTCACAGATTTCGATTTGATAGGTTGTTTTCTCTGTACGCGGGCTAGTTTTTCCCGCGTTTTTTTTTTTTTTCAGTCCTGCAATTGAGTATAAAAGTCGCAGATAACTTAAACTACGAGCTAGTGACGAGCAGTCGATTTTTCTTCCTGAAATCCTTCGCGTGATTGGAAAAGTTAAAACTATACTAATAAAAGAAACGAGAACTGAAATCGCAAGTTTAAGATCCAGTAATCAACTTTCTATTCTGATCGCTATGAATTTGTTAGCGGTTAGTTTTAAGGTCTTTCTGTGAAATCGGAGACAATGATTACCTGAGTATCCCTTCCTTTATTTCCATTACTCTTTTGCTTGATTGAGAGAAAATAAAGCGCCCCGCATGCGCGATGACCTCAATAAGCTTCAAAAACTAAACTCAGCTGAAAACACAGGGTTACGGTTTCTCACAGCCGGCAAGCTGAGAGGTTGAGTCAAGCTTTGTTAACACTTACAGAAAGGGAAGACATATGAAATTGTGCAATAAGACGTTCATCTGGAGAAAAGGGCCAATTTCTTTTCGCTTCAGTTGAATATTTCTGTATTTCAAAATTAACTTGCATAAGCGAAAGAGTGACTACTCGTAGTGTATTTTTTGGTATGCTTTGCAGTTCTACATTTAACGTACATGGCAGTGAAAGGAATGAAACGAATTCAATCCCAGGGCTTCCTCGGTTTTCGCAATATGGCGGGAGTTATGGCGGGAGAAGAACGTCGGGCCGGTTGCCATCTCATGACATTGTAGCAATGTACTTCTACATGTAGCAAATGATGTCCTAGAAATAATTACGAAGATCCTCAGTTTTTTCCAATGGCGACCTCTAGCTCTATGAACGAGAAACTGGCGCCGATTATGGCTACGTTGATTGCAAGACGAAATCCAGAAAGGTAAGGTTGACGAACTCGTGCAAACTCTTAGCTGTCAGTGTGCATGTAACCTTCGGGGTTTTCTTAATTAAAGGTAGGAGATTGAATGAAGGAATGATACCGGTTTCGCCCCATGGCGACTTCGCCCCCACCGAGTTCGCCTCCACTATAAAATTTTTATTTCGAGTTCGCCCCCAACTTTTCGAGTTTGCCCCAAAATTTTGTGTCCGTGTTTACGTAGTTGTCATCGAGTTATTTAACGTTTTCGAAGAACCATGTCAGTCTATGTATGTTTATGTTATCTCGCCATTAGGGAGTCTTGCCACCAACGAACCCCCGGTCGCCACCAAGCGAAGTTTCCTCACCACCAGTATTCTAATAAGGCAGTGGATAAAAGAACGAGGAATAATCTTTATATGCGACTCGATCTGGCTGAGGGCAAACTCGATCAAGTTCAGTCGATCTGGGAGCGAACTTGGTGGGGCGAACTCGCCATGGGGCGAAACCGGCAGAAATGAATGAAGAGGTTAAATAAGTGTGCCAGTTATTTATTAAAATTTGTTTAAACCTTCCCAGAGACGTTTAAGGTGCACAATTACCGCAAAATTTCGAAAGTACATTATGTACCCGTTTACTAACGGAATCAGTAACCTTTTCTGGAGGTCGTTTACTTTCGCAGCCACAATTTTTTGACGTTACCTTGAGAGGTTCGCTTGTTTTGGGGTGGTGACTTTCAGAATTTCACAGTGATGGAGTTTTATTTTAATTGAATGCGAGCTTCTTTTATAATTGTACCAAGCTAAAGCTTATCAGAAGCTTTGTGAGTTACAGGATCAGCTAGTGTTCACTACAGGTAAGGCGAATGGTGTGTACGAAAGGCATTCGCGGTCGAGTGTTGGTCGATACCCTCAATCAATGCCCTTGATCGACCCTCAATCCACACTCGATTGACCCTTGATCGAGACTTGATGCATACTTGAGTGACACTTGATCAACACCTCAGTTGACACTCAATCGACACTCCGTCGACCTCGCACTCGACAGTCAGCTAATTTTTGATCGGTGCATATGAGTCAGTCGCCACTCTGCCAACTAGCAACCGACTGTTGATCAAGTGGCGATCAAGTGTCCACTGAGTAGTGATTGTGATGTTGATCGACACTCGACCACAGATGCCTTTTAAAAGTACATGTACTGTACACATGGTCCAGTAAGGCTACATCTGGATGGTCTTGTGGAAACAACAGGAAGTGGGGTGTTGATTTGTTGCCATTAGGCCTTAGTTAATTGACCATTACAGTATAAGCTTTATTCCGCTGATTTGACATTTTTGGTGTGTTATACATTTATACAGTCTTAGTACTCAAGAACACCACACGTCGGCAAACCAAATGAAGAAACTTCTATGTGAGTTTATCAATAGCATATTGACTGATCTTGATGCAGGTAAGTTGCTGGACCTTAAACTTAACAGTACTTGTTTTGTTATACAGTGAATTTGGTCATATGCATATGACCTTCCTATAATTTCCATACAAGAACTCTGAACTCTGCCATCACCATCAATGAATCTTGCAAACAGAAATATACAAAATGGATCAAAATCTACTCATCACAACTCACAGAAATGACCTTTGAACCTTGCCGAAGTAACCTTCTGTTTCCCGAGAAGTCAGTGAAGATCATAGATGGTAGCAACACACAAAACCATTGATTGAGCAGAGTTTTTATGGTATTGAAAGGCATAATAAAGTAGGAAGATTAAAGTGACAAGCTCTAAGTTTATACACAAAATGTCACAAACAGCATTCCTGTATTGCTTGCATTAGACAGGTGAAATACCAAACCAAGCACATGTATCGGAGTTCAATCTGCTATCTTCTTTATCCCTGAGAGACTAATATGTATTATTTAGTTCTGGAAAATATCTATGTGCACTCCAAGGAGGTTTATTGAAACTTCCAAGAGGGGAGGGGGAGGGGAGGGGAGGGGTCTCAAAGTAAACATTTTTAAAAGAAAGTATGAACCAAACCTGAAGTTTCCATATAGGGATGGGGGGCTGGTGCTCAAACCAAAAAACCCTCCATGAGTGGGGGATGGACATTTTTCTGGAACATGTGTTACTTTTTGAGAGTGCTCTTATTATTATTATGTAAATAGGAGATACATGTACATGTAGGGGAAGGGGGTTGATAGAGGGGAGAGATCACTGGGAATGGGGAATAACTTTTTGTTGTCAAAATTAAGTAGATCTGTAGGAGACTGTTAAAAGTTTATTATTTTCTGGCGAATAACACTTGTAAGGAAAAAAGTACAATAATGTAGGAGATGTACGTGTGTGTGTGTGTGTGTGTACATGTATTCATTTTTAGAGTACTGTAACTGTTTGAATTTGTCTTCTTGTGTACATACAGTTGCTGCCCAGTTGTCAAGAAAGACTGGAGGTACCCCTCATTCCGAGATCTTTTGGCAATTCCTTCATCATTGCCTTGATGCCTTCCCAGAGTGCTTTGTTAGTTTAGAGCCCCAAAGTACTCATGATGCCATACCTACCACAGGTGCTTCCCACAATGCAGTGCATGTGCAGGGAAACAAGATCTGTAGATCTGGTAAAGGTAAACAGCTTTTGGAACATTTCTGAAAAGTTTTAAAAATTGTATCTGTTATTGTCATTAGATGGGCCCAGGCTGCTAGAGGCTGAGGCCCATCCCATGCTCTGAAATGCTGCATTTATTCCTAGGAATGGCTTTCAAGGTCATGCCTTCTCATCTACCATAATGATGTAGGTGATGATGCTTGATTGGTTTGAACATAGAGGGAAGAGAGGGTTAGGGTGGCATACATGTACACAAGGGAAGGGGTGGGAAGGATGAAAAATGTAGGGGAATGTAACGCTTTTAAAAGTTAATTTATTGTCACTTTGATCAGGGAAAACCTCATTCTTTCGACACACTATTATTTTATAAACACTATTTTACAAAACTTGTTTTGTCCAAGACTCGACAGTTGATCGCCTTACAATTAAGGTTTTTTTTTTCACGCATAGCTACATGAATTGTGTTTTGATTGGAATATTGTATGGCAATCAACTGATGAGGTTTAATTAACAAAACTAGTTTAAGCCGTTTTATCGGATGGCCATTAGTGTACGTTTTTGCGTGAGAGGTCACATACACTGTATGTTAATGAGTGTATTGAAAGTGAACACTGATCAAAATGATGTTTAGTAATACTCTCTTGGCCTCAACAAGTACTTTTTCACAGTATTATTTTATTGTGATTTCACTTTTTTGCAGTATTTACATCATGGATCCTCTCTAGGATTCTCTGTGTTCTTGCTGAGGCGGATTGTTCTCTATTACATGACAAGTCTATTTCAGCCATTCTATCGTTATTGCAGGTAAGGCTATGGTTTAATAATAATAATAATAATGATAATAATAATAATAATAATAATAATAATAATAATAATAATAATCACCTTTACTTAGAGAGGGTGACACATGACAGTATGAACTGATAAACTAGTGGCCCTCTGTGCTAGACATCTGTGAGTAATTATAAAATAACTAAGAATGTTTGGACCTGTCCATTATTTGGACAATAGTTCTAAAAACTGAATTCAGTTCTTAATTGATAATAATTATCATTCAAGGTTTTAAGACCTGTCTGGAATCTTTATGTTTTGATCTTGGACTAGACATTGTCCTTGGGTAGCAGGTGGAGAACTGTTACAGTACCTGACACATTGCTACATGTGGGGGCTCAGTGAAACTTTTTAGGCATTTAGCATCACTTCCAAGGGTAGCAGTAAAACTTATATTCTCCAGCACTGTCATTAGGTTTTGAGTCACCCAACTGATCTTCACACCCATAACAAGCTTGTTATCTTTTGAGTGAATTATATCAACTGTATTCCAGTTCACCTGTAACATCAAGGGCCCATCAAACATACACGTTATGGCCCTTATGGACAGCCCTATCTGCCAAACTCATCTCTGATTTATGAGCCTGGAAAAGGTACTTGTACACAATGTGCATGTAAGGGATGGTGGAGTCAGGCGAGATATGTGCCTTGAGCGGAACAAGTGGGTATCCATGGCAACCCCGAGAGTGGCAACCATGAGGTGCTGCCACACCAACAGAATCAGTGGAGATACATACTTACCACAGAGCAGTTGGCAATTGAGAGTCAAAAGTAATCAAGTAATTTGGGTTTGGTTTTACAATGGTTTGAGATTGGTTGAGTAGTCTAATTAGAAAACAGTCCTACAAAAATACGCACGCTGATTGGTTAAAAATCCTGTTTCTATAACTTGATGGAAACAGAGAACTAGCTCGAGCTGTTGACGTAATGATGGCGTGAGCAAAGAAAATTTACATTTTGATGATCGAAGTAAACAAGCTGTTTTTCTTTTTTTCGTTGTGGTGTTTTCTAAAAGAAAAAGAAAAAATGTTTTTCGTGTTTCTATTGAGTTATAGAAACACTCATGAAAGTTTGGGAGAACTCAAAAAAGCTGTGGAAACAATTGCCTGCGGCTCGTGTTCCCACAGCATTTCTCGTTTTCCCAAACTTCCACTCGTGTTTCTATAACTCGATAGAAACACAGTGCATGTTTTCTATTTCTTAATTGGTACATGAAAGTTATTGTTTTGGTTCTACGACACTCAGTTGAAAATTGCTCTAACCTGCAATCAATAACATTTTTAAAAGGTTTCATGTTTTCGCTTTTCACTAAATTAAATCTGTATATGTACATGTATCTTATAAACAGCTGGTGAAAGGAAAAGACCTAGTTTTCTACAACAAGTGTCTCACTGAATTTGTTTCACTCTTGGAGGGTAAGTTTACACGTGTATAGTAGAGTATACATTGAACAGTTTTTAAATAAATTAAAATTTTTTTTTCAGATCCCACAAAATGTACAGTATGGAGGAGTTTCATACTATTTCATTTCATTAATTTTTGTAGCTTGGTACCATAACATGCACGTGTAAAACAACAATCTTTTCTGATTGCTAAGCTCCTTGCAGAAATATTAGACTTGCTACAAGCCGACCCTTGTTAATCAAGGATGACTTTTTAAATTACAGTAAGTCTAGGCAGAAATATCTGAATCAAATTAATGCTGTCTATTTTTACCAGCAGTATAGTACAGAAATGTAATCAATGTGGATGTCGAAGTTCAATTTTACCCTTGGTACAATCTGGCATTTTCCCTTTTTCGGTGCATGGTAATATACTTTATGATAATAAATATAAAACAATGGAAAATACATGTACCAAGGGCATTGAATTGAACCACTACTGTACACTGTACTGGTACTAGCCCTTTTCATTGTTAACTTCACTTATAACATTGTACAATAAATTATAATCCAGCATGTATGTGTGACAATTTTTCTTCCCTCTGCCTTGCGATGAGGGTTTTCCCTCTAATAAATGTTTACATAATTTTAATACAGTGAACTATTTTTATTTTTTCAGATCTACTAACTATAGATGAAAAGCTATTTTCTTCCAACTGTCCTCCTTTGGAGGCCTTGCCTCTCTACCTTAGCCATTTTCAGTTCACAGAGAGTAGTGACGATAAGGTAAAGTTATCATTAGATTATAGCATGGTAAAGTTTGCATAGGTCAGCACTTCTCTCTGGTTTTTGTAGCATGAAGCGACTAGGAGTATCTCTAGACTCTCCCCATGATTACCCCCAGTGTCAAATATCCCGGTACCCATGTATACAACTGGGTGGAGAGGCACTGTGAGAGTAAAGTGTCTTGCCTAAGAACACTACACCATGTCCCCGGCACAACTCAAACTTTGGAGACAAGTGCACTAATCATGAGGCTGGCCATGCATCCTCAGATTATGGCATACTGTAATGTGAACATGTAAATTTCTTGTAAGTTTGAAACTGAAGAGTGGTTGCAAATTTCCAGTGGAGTGTCAGGCCTTGGAGGTATGGGGAACAGGAAGTCTGCAATATGTTGTTGAGTCCTTTTAAAATTAAATTAAAATTAAAGTTAAAATTGTACTATGGGATGCATAAAACCTTCTAATATATTAGAGGTTGATTAAAAGAGGGGAGGGTTTAGCCTGGATTCCTAAGGTGGTGGGAGCCAATCAGCAGATATACATTGTATGTGCAGAATAAAATTCTGTAATATTACCTAATTAATGCACATTTTGCGCAAGTGTCTTGAGTCAAGAAGGAAGAGACATGAACTTGAAGCGCTATTAAGGCAGGTAGTGAGTGCAATCTCTCCTGTCCCCTTACAAACTAAATGGCTGTACGTGTACATGTACATGCACATGTAAAGTGGGGTTTCATTTCTGCTAATCTTGCGACTGAGGTGTCTGTTTGCTGTATATGTTTCAGGAGGAGCTGAACATGGTGAAGAAATTCATGTGTGTAAAGCATGCAGAAGATTGCTATGCTTTACAAGAAGCAGTAAGGTTTGTTGCATTCTTTGATATGTACAGCTGTTTAGTTATAGCGGTAGCTAACTTTTGAAATTACTGCTTTTGAGAAACAAGTTTACAACAACCATCGGATCATTGTGTACTAAAGGTGTCCATGATCAAGTGTCCATCGATACTCTCGATCTATATCCTCGATCGACATCTCAATCAATACTCAATCTACATGTACATCCCGATCGATACTCGGTCGCTACTCTATTGACACTTGATCAACAGTCAGTTGATAGTCGGTTAAATATTGACCGACTGATATGAATTGATTGAAAATTAGCTGACTCTCGACCGACTGTCGACCAAGATGTCGATGGAGTGTCAACTGAGGTTTCAATGGAGTGTCGATTGAGTATTACTGATCAAGGATATCGATTGAGGGTATCGATCAACA